TGCAATGATGTCAACATTAAAACAATATTTTAATAAAAATAAAGATCCTCAGTGTGTGTTGATCATTCTTGTTCATTTAAAATCCACAGTATGCTTTTAGCAATGAATTTAAAAATATTTTTATAGCAAACTTCCAAGTTTCTACTGCTTCTACTTTACAATCTCCTTCCCTACTCTTTGCCAGTTGCTTTGTACCAGAAAGAAACCCATATGTTATAAGACTATTCATCTGTCCCTATTAGTATTTTACCAGAGCACCACATTTATTATCTGTGCTAGTGAAATTGTGAAAACTTTTTGCTGTGATGTTAACTAAACTGCTCCTAATTATAAGGTTTAACATTTTCATGCTTTGGATATATCATTTGGTGAATATAAAGCTCTCTTTTTAAATTTTGATTGTCATACTATTTGATATGGTACAAATATATAATTAGAGATATGGTCTTTCCCTTCGTGTTTTCACATCCCACATCTCCTGAATTCTTCTTACTTTACACCTTTTACATCTTTACATGTTAAAATACCTATCTGTTTCTAGAAGTACAAATGTGTGCGTATGTGTGTGTGTGTGCACAGGGTGGGGCAAAAGTGGGATAACAGTTGTATATGAAACACAGATTTCATTCTTGTATTTATTAACTATTGTATTATTTAATATGCCTGTATATAAAATATATGTTTTCACAGTGAAATGAACCTTTTTCTCCTTTTTGGAGGCAAATGTAGTTTCCTATGTGGGTACACTAATGCAAATTTCAGCAGGTTTTCAGAGTTGCTGGGCTGATAAAAAGTCACAAAATATATTAGTAGGGGAAGAGGAAAGGTGTTTTTTTACTCTCTGCTTGACAAGTGACAGAATAAAAGAATCCTTGAGAAATGTGTCAGAATTTTTCCCCCTTGTGGAAGAAAAGAGTCTGAAGCTAAAAAGAGAGGCAGGCTTTGTGAGTTTTACTTGCAAACCGTGCCAGACTACGTAAGCTTTTTGTTCATTCTTAACACATCGAACATCTTGAAGTATCTAAGAATATTGAGGGAGAAACAGTGTGATCTAAGGTAGAGTACCATTCTAATTATCAGTTCTGAAGTCGAACTTTAGCGTTTTCTGGAAGCTTAATAAGTAGTTCAAACTTTGAAATACTTCCAGCATTTTTAAAAACTCAAAGGATATATACATGTGAAAATTGGATCAATTAGTTGGACTCCATGGGTCCTGTCTTACAGGTTCACATTCTGTGGCAATGCTGCTTATGTATTTGACTCAAACATTCATCAGTTTAGCCTTCTGAAGCAATTCAAGCTGGCCCTGCATTGCCTCTTCTGATTCTCAGTAGGAGATGTATTATTATAGACCGAGCAACTTCTTCACAAATATTGTTAGCTATCTCACTCTCTCACTAAATGTCCTAAAACTTAAAAACACATTTCATTGCATAAAATTTACCACTCATGTACTCCAGCTCAACACAACCTCAGTGTCCTACTCAAAATACATGATCAATAAGTATTTGGGTCATGATGACAAATACTGAACATGGGAACACTAATGGTGATGAGTTCTGACAAAGAATGAGAATGTTAAATAGATTCAAGTGAATGGATAATTTATAATAAACTCTAAGGGTTGCACATTCACAGTTATAAAAAAAAAAATAGCTCCACATTTAAAAAACCAATTAGCCTAACTTTCATTTTGAACACCCGCTTCACGACAGTGGGAAAAGTTGATTTTGGCCAATCTCGCGGTCCTCTGCCTAAGATAGATATCAAAATTTGGGGAATAAAATGATAGTCGTTTAACAAAATTCCATAAGATTAGAAGAACAAAAAGCAGATGTTGCCTGTCTTACAAAGATCTAGTGAGATGTCAGTTGTCCCATTTGAACCTTGATCTTTGATTCCTGAATATCATGCTGAGTTGTCCCCTGAGCTTATCTGCCTGGTCTCTTTAAGTCTTGGAGGCATCTTTGCTTTTTTCTGGGCTTTACCTGGGGACACAAGAATCATTCCCCCATTTTCATATGTTATTAGTGAAATAGGCAGAGTCTACTTAGATGCATTGCCCAGTCACACCCCCCGTGAGGACTCTTTCCAGGGAAGATACACTGGCTTTCTTTGATCTTGGGTCTCACACAATAATCCACAGTGACACTGTCTTCCTGGGGAGGCAGGCTTCAGAAACTCTTTATCCAGGACCCATATCCATCTATATTGTCATTAATCCCCCCTTTTGTTTCTCTTTTCCTCCATGGCTCACTTCACCCCTTGCCTGCAGAATATCATAAAATATTTATGCGCCCCCTCATTCAAATATATTGCCTTTGCTTTATTACTCCTCTAAGGAATTTGTTATTTTAAAGACAAAACTCAGAAAAATATTAATACTCTTGTTTTCCCTGACTTGTGTTCTTCATACCCTTCCTTTGAGGAGATAAGCAGAAAATAACTTAGCAGCTTTAATAGGGGGCTGGCAGTGAGTTTGGAGGGTAAGAAATGTAAATGGCAGGGATTAATACTTAGAAATATATTGCTGCATGATTGGCGAAACTGAGCATTTTGGTACACTGATGTCATAGGAAGAAAATACCTGAACTTCTATTTCACTGTGAAAGATGGATTATTGAATACATTTCTTATCAATAGGCTTTATGGATCATATGTATTTATGTTCACAATACTAGAATAATAAAAATCTTTTATTGTAATCAGAATCTCTTCCAAGGTAAATCTAGAATTCTTTTTAACACAATAAATTACATTCTGCTCATATGGGGAGTATATAATATATTTAGTCTCATCTGTTCCCATCATAAATTCAAATGAATGATTAGAGATATTTTTTAAAAAACAAACTAAAATGTCTTAGGAAAAAAATTGGTTCTGCTTAATTTTTATATTAGCCTATATTTTCCTACCTACCTTAGAATGATAAAAAAGATCACATGTAACACATTACAAGGGTCAGCAAACTTGCTCCGTAGGTTAGAGTATCCCAGTAGCCTTGGGAATGAGACGCCTGCGGTCCCTGGGGCTTTGGTGCTCCTCTTTGATCAGTGTCTCTTTAGCTACAAAAGGCTTTCAAGAGCTCCTCTGGAAACAATCCCCAAAGACAGCCCTTTCAAAATGAACCTTCTCTTCTATCCTTTAAATGAATAGGTACTGGGGTGCACTGTAAAGAAAACTGGGGCTTTATGTCGAAGTCATGGTCCCAGTGAAATGAATAGATGAAACCGATGAAGATTGGGGTACTGGTAACAGTATTTCATTATTAGGAGAGCGCTAAATGGCTTAGAAAGCCTGGCTGTAAATTCACACTGCTACTCCGCTCATGTCACTGTGAAAGATTCTGAAAGTTACGTGTAAAACCAGCCTTGGATGTCCAAATACATTTTTACATAAGCAGATAGTAACTTGGGATGAATTACAGGGTCCCTTTGGCCAGGAGCCAGCACTGGCTCTTCTCGCCCATGGCCGGCAGGGGGCAGCAGACCACAAAGACAACCTTTACCACACACAAAGGAAATCGAGTTTGCTCCTCGAACGAATTCTTGCAGGAGTTCTGGAAATAACTGGTGCAAGGGCACATGGAAGCCTGAGGGGAAAATGGCAGGAGGAGTAGAACATGAAGGGCCCTGAATGTTAAGCTAATACTCTGTAGCTTTATTAGAAGTCTTTGGATGTTTATAAGTTGGTGCGTGACATGATTATTTGTGAATTGTGTATAATAAGATTTGCATTTTAGAATAATTATTTTGAAAACAGAATGAAAGCTTCCCTACTCTGAAGGAGTAAAAGTAGCAAGTATTTCATGTTTATCTTTTCTAGGTCTTGTGCTCGGTGTTTTACCTGCTTAATTGCTTTAATAATTATTATCCTAGGAGGAGGAAAATTAAATCACCCACAGTCATGCAAAAAGGAAGTGACACCTGCTTTTTTTCCCCCTCTATGATAATGTCTCTTGCTGAAAGCTGGAGGACTAATTAGAAGGATAATTCAGTCATCCAAATGAGAATCTACGAAGTCCCGAACTTAAAGTACAGATTGTTAAAAGATAAAATTAACTGAACTTGCTACATAATTGAATGTAGAATTACCCCAAGGTTTATGAACGGGGAAAATGGGTAGATACCACTGCTAGTATCTGAGATAAGAGTTGTGAATTATGAACAAACATTTTAGTGTGTGCCTCTGTGTGTGTGTGTGTGTGTGTGTGTGTGTGATGAGGTATTTTGATTACTATGGGTCATCTAAGTGGAGATATGCAGTGGAATGTTGATAAAGTGGACCCAGAGGCCAGGAGATTATCTGGGGCTGGAGAGAGTGACTGTGATTAATAAATATATTAAGTGACAGTTTGAAGAAAATATCATGCCTGCAGTTGTCGAAGAAGTGAGTGGAGAGAGATGAAACATGCTGGACAAAACCTTTTAAGGTAGAGATTCTTTCCTGTGTATAAGAATCTCACTTAAGTAGCCCGGCAAACACAGATTTCCATATTCTACGTTGAGGAATTCCGATTCGCACCCAGGGGATTCTCATGCAAGTGGACAGCACTTTGGGAAACACTTATGCAGGGAATGAACCATTGGAGTCTGTGAAAGAAAGGTGACTAAAACAGTAGGAAAAGCGAGAGGGAAGGGTCAGTCTCAGAGGCCAAGAGAGGGGAGGCTTTAGAGAAATAAGGCATCATCATCACTGTTGAAAATTTCAGAGCCCTTTAAACTTTGGGGACTGAGGGATAACTTACTGCTATTGGATGCTGCAGGCTGTTGGCCAGTGTTCTACATTGGGGCACACACAGCCCCATTTTCTTCCAGCGCTCCCTGCCACCCCCCCTCCCCCATTCTCTTAATCCAAAAAATACACCAGTATTTTGACTGGCCAATGCTGCTGCCTTCATTCTCTGTTTCTGGGCACTAACTTCCACCTGAGAAAAACAATTTACTTTGAGCAAAATTCAGATGGAACGTTGTCCAATAAATAAATAAAGGAGGACTCACCATTTACAGTCCACCACTGGGTTTCATCTCTGCAACGTAGGGGCACTTTCTTCAGAAGTAGAATGCAGCAGGAATATTGAAAACAGCCTAAGTTTCGGGCATCAGTGTATTCTCAAATCAAATGTACTACTTGAATTCAGAGCTTACTTCTCCTCAAAGTATTTGTTTTGGCTTTGAGTGTGAGGGTGCAGTGTTTTTCTGCATGAAATCATTCACCAATCCGCCCCCTCCCCACTACCAGCCTTGTGGAAATCACCCAGAGGAATCAGAACCGCTGAAGTAGTCAGCAAGCAAACAGTAAATGCTATTCATAAATCTCTAAGTCAGGCCTGAAGCAAACTCACACAGAACACCAAAAAATGAATTTTATTTTAAATCGAAACAGGGATTAGGAGATATAGCTTGGGATTTGGGGATGATTAAGTGTAGGATTCAGTTAAGAGGCTTCACCTTTCCAGAAAATATAAGGCAAACAGTCCCATGACTGACCTGTAGATCTTTGCTGTATTTGGCATAATAAAATGACAGATCTGGTCATGTATTGCTTTAACAGGCCTTGTACAACTTGACTGAAATGTGTAATTCAGAACACGGGCAAGTCAATTTTGGGTTCAATAACTGAGATATTTTATGATGGATTTTTACATTATTTTGGCATAAAATTCTTTGATCATTCTAATAACTCTCACCTTTGCCTAAACAATGGAATTGACAAAAACTCTGGGGTTTAGAACCCTTTTAATATGCTTCTACAACTTTTCCTAGTGGAACATGAATATTGATAGAAAAAAACGTATCTAAAAACATCTAGATTTAATTTAAAATTTTATTTCTATCATTTATTTTATAACATGTGTGATTACTTTGATGCAGAAAATTGGAAGTGGCCAAACAATTTACTGTAGGCAATCTGTTAAAAATATCTAAAAGGGTAAAATTAGAAAACAAATTAAAGAGAAATCTGATCTATATCTATGTGGGCACAGAGAATTCTTACTCCACACAGAGGGATGCTTAGTGCCAACCTCTATTTCTTGATAATTATTTCTCCATGTCTCCTCCTCCAGCTCCTCTAAAGGTTCATTAGGGCGAACATCAGTAAATTTCTACTCCCATCCTTCTCGCCTTTGTACAATTTTTACGGTTAAAGCCTGTTCCCTCCCTTTTTTCAGTGACTTTATATCTTATACTAAACATCTATTCTTTGAATAAGTGTATATTGTTGAAATGAGCACCATATAAAATTAAAGATCATTGTGTTCCAATTAGCAAGTGTTACATATCAGTATTATGTTTCTAGTATGTTAAGGAGCAAAAACAACAACAACAGCAGCATTTAGATCTCTAAGAACCAGGGAGAGAATAAATAAATTAGCTCTGGCTTACAAAATAGTGCAGTGACAGCTGCTTTGGTCTCATAAATGAGGTGTTTGAAAAGGGCATGAATAGGACAGTAGGAAAAATATTTTGCTTAGCAACACACCTGTTTTTCTTCTTGTTATAGATTCCTGTGAGATGGATTCTTACATTAGAACTCATCTTGTCTCTTTCTCTCTCTCCCATTGAACTTTCTAACACAAAGCTAAACACCAACATCAAAGGAATTTGGGACTTTGGAAATGTTTGGTATAAAGCGAGCAAGGAGAGCATGTCTGTCAGGGGTGTAATTCTTAACTAAAGTGGCTAATGTAACAAAAGCACATAGTGATTAGACTGATACGGGTCACTTACCTATTTTTAAAATTATATACTTGAAAAAATACAAAATAGTTATGAAGCATTTCTACATATGCTTTTGAGAATAGGAGCTTTATGTGTGATTTTTTGGTTAATATTTGTTGCTTTCTCCCCCTTTGCAAATACATCATTAGAGTCATAACTTAGATGAAAAATATTAACACACCAGTCTTGAAAGTATTTTTTCCTGAAAAAAAATGAAAGTTTCATTTCAAGATTCCTTCCAAATCTAAGACTCTTAAAAGTGGAAAACACATCCTTCAGTGTCTACTCAAGTTTGCTTATTTGTTTGTTTTTAGATTTATCTTTTTCCACATCTAAGGGAGTAGGTAGCTATGGATTCCCTGAATCCGAGAAATGCTGGCTAGTAGGTGGAATCTAGCTGGCACACCCTGTCCTAGGTAAGATGAAACAAGCTATGGTCAGAGGAAATACTTGAAGCAGCGGCCAGAAAGACAAGATCACAGACTTAAAATGCCGAGGCGGCTTGCGACACTGAGGGGCTGTGCCAAAGGAGCAGCGAAAACCAAGAGGGTCAGGAAAGTAAGGCTTATGTTTCAAAACCCAATTGACAATGAGATCTTTGATTTCTCTGTAGGAGGAACATTTCTGACAATGTCCATAATTAGCTTACTTGTTTTCACGGGCTTGAGAATAAAAAATTATACATCCTGAAAACCAAAGGAAGTGAAAAATGTTTTGTTGCATGTTTTTGAGTAGGAGTCACCAGGAGTCTACACACTGAGTGACAGTCTTAGCACAAGCTGTATGCAATTCAAAGGCCAATACGTATGCCTGGCTTTCGGCGTGATCATATTGAAAAACCTTGGGGACTATACTCCTCTTCATTTTTCCCCAGTTGTTATGTGACAGCTTTATACCCTAAAAATTAAATTTCCAGAATACACACAAAGAGATTTTGAAAGCCATGCTTTCCAATCTTTTGGGAATCATATATCTTCACAGAGATTGTTTTTGTGCCTTAATAAAGAATTTATTTATTTAAGAGGCTTTTATTAGTACTAGGCAATATATCAGACACCTTTGTATCAGGTGTGCTTACAGGCATTGCTACTTGTCCCGAAGGAGCTTTTGGTTTAGTGAGAGAAAGAGAGAAATAAACAACTGCAATCTAGTATGATAAGTGGTATGTACAACAGTGGAAACACATGGGTGGTGGCGGTGTGTAAAAGGCAGGGTGCGAGCCAGGCGTGGTCTTCAGCAGAGGAGTTCCAGAAATATGGTTATGTGGCCGAAAGACAAACTCACCTATTTAAGCAGAGAGGGGGGGTATATTTTAAGTATCAAAAATAACGTGTAAAAGGCTCAGAAATAAGGAAGAGTCCGAGGAGATGCAATTAGTTCAGAATGGCAGAAACATGAGGAGCAGGGGAGGAGGGTGAGAAGTGAGGCTGGAAAGGCAGAGAGAGGCCAAACCCAGAAAAGAAGATTATTGTAAGGAGCTCCTGACAGCAGCGAGCCTCCACTTTTAAGTGGATGACAAGCAAATGACAAGTGGAAGTAAGCAAATGACGTAAGTGGAAGGGATGTAGATATAGAAATCAAAGACATTCAAATTCATATGCCCAAATTGAGCTCCCAGTCTGATTTCCCAAACCAATAGATTATCACAAAGTCTTCTGCGTCTTAGTTAATGGCAATTCCATCCCCTTATTTGCCTGGGTCTTTGACTCTTTCTTTTGCTCACAGCCTACATCCAATATCAGGAAATCTTTCCACCTTTAAAATCTATCCAGAATCCAACCTCTCTTCTGAAGCTCCATTAGTTGTAACTCTATCGTTTCTTGCCCAGATAGTGTAAAGGATTCCGACTTCCCTCTACCATTGCCGCCCACTCCCCATCACCACCCCAGCCTTGTTGTGCTCCTCAGTTCATCTCAACCTTCATTTTTATTTTTATTTTTTGGCAGGATAGCCTATCAGTTCCTGAGAGGCATTTGTTACAAACTACCACTATAAATATTGATTTGCCTAGTTCTTTAGTTCTGTTTTGCTTTATGAATTCTGAGGACACGCTTATTAGGACATACATATTTAGAATTGTAATATTTTACTAGTGCATTACCATTATGAAATATCTTTATTTCTAGCCTGGCTTTTTCACCTAAGTGTACTTCATCTGTCATTAATGTAGCTATACCAACTTTCCTTTGGTTAGTATTTTTATGTTTTTTTCCAGCCAGGAAGATGAAAACACTATTAGATGTTTCAATAAAAAGATTTAATAAAGGGAATTTAATCAAAGGGATTATTAAAGATTTAATAATTACGTAGATTTGCAGAGCTGAAGTGCAAAAAAGGAACACTGAGGTAACTGGAGGAAGCAGCTACTATTCTTAGCCTGGGGAAACAAAAGAGAAAAAGTGATGTGAAAGGAAGGGCCTTGTAGAGTTGGTGTTAAGACCTGGGAAAAAGAAAGGGGGTGCTGCTCAAGGCCAGGAGGAGTCACCCAGTGGAACTGTGGCCCAGACTTCTGAAGAGCCAGCTCCCAGCTCCTGCTTGTGCCCTTGAGGGGCTGGTCATGATGAGATGCTTCTGGGAGAGTCAATGGAAGCTGACGGCTTTGACCTGCCACTTCTGGGGCCACCTAACACTGATCACTGCTACAGGCAGAAAGAAGGAAAGGAAGCCCCTTTACCCTTCCCTGGGCTTTCCAAATTGTCTCTATGACCCTTATTAGAAAAATTCACAGAAATCCAGCAGGCAGCCTGGAAATGTAGTTTGCAGGACCCAGCCCCAGGATCACAGAGTGGAATAGAAAGGGGTTTTTATTTATTTATTTGAAATGAGAGATGAGACATAACCAGGAAATACGCCATATGTTTTTCTTCCTCGACTTCAAATTCTCTATATTCTTGTATTGTAGAAGTGCTTCTGTTAAGCATCACCTGGTTTCATTTTTAAAAGTTGAGTCTGGCAGTCTTTGTTTTCCTACTAGAGAATTTGATCAATATATATTCAACCTGTATACATATAATTACTATTCCATTAATTAACTACCATCTTGACTTTAGACCTACTGTTTTGCTCTTTGCTTTTTATTTACCTTTTTTTTGTTTCTTTAGCTTTCCTTTATTGACTTTTTTAAATTAATTTTTTATTCTTACATTTTCTCCCTTAATCTGCTTGGTAGTTTCACACCCTTTCACTAGTCTTCTAGTGGCTCTTCAGCGGGTCGCAACATGCATATTCTGCATGTGCAAGTGTCCCATAGATCAGCACTCTTTCCCCTTCTCAGCTCGTCGGCTGGGCATTCAGCAGCTCCTGCGCCCGCGCTGGCTCTGAAGTCGCTTCTGTGCCCGGGTCCTCTCTGTCAACTGAACGCTCTGCTCTGTGTCTCATCCTCTCAGAAATCTCTTCCTGAGTAGACATGCGCTCCTGAGGGAAAAG